AGAGAGAGAGAGAGAGAGAGAGAGAGAGAGAGACCACACACACACACACACACACACGACGCATAGCCAAAGCTTGAGCACACGACGACGAAGATGATGATGATGATGAGGATGAGGAGGAGGAAGAGGGGGAGGACAGAGAGGAAGAGGAAAAGGGTGAGGAGGAGGAAGACGACGATGACAAGGAGGAGGAGGAAGACAACTCCGACGAAGAAGAGGAGGAGGAGAAGGGAGGACATGAAACAGACGAAGAGAAAGAAGAGAAACGGCGATGGTTGTCTTCCGCCTCTTCTTCTTGGTCCTCCTCCTCTTCTTCTTCTTTTTCTTCTTCTTCAGCTTGTTCTTCTTCTTCGTCCTCCTCTTCTTCTGCTTCCTCTGCTTCTTCTTCTCCCTCGTCATCCACAGCGCCCGCCCTAGGCAAGATGCTCTGTGCTCATCCTAACCTCGGTGCTCTGTCCTCATCCTAATCGTACCTCCACAGTGCAAGGTGGCGCCTTTGCCTGAAGGCCTCTGAAAATCGAAGGCTGGAGCTATGGCGCCAACAGGCAGCGAAAAGGTTCCTTTTGTTTTGAAAAAAAAAATATAGGTTGTTCGAGGGGGTGGGGGGGGTAAATGAAATGCTCGGGTTAGACGGGTTCGGCCGATCGCCGCCCTGCGACATTACAGAGCCGCCGTAACCCGGTTATATTTATTGTTTTCTTTGTTTTTCTTCTTCTCGACCTTACCGAGGTTTGCTAACGGCACCAAACTCTCAGGGAGCCATGGGAAAGGCTATCTGAGAGCCTGGTTTACTGGCACGGAGCGTCAAGACTACAACGGGTGTTCAAGCCACTGTAGATACCCTAACTAGGGACTGTACATTAGTATTTCTTGTATAGCCTCCTAAATTTCTGAGAAGTACGTTAGTATGTCTGCTGCAGTCGTGGGAACAGCATCGTTTTTGTACATTACCTTTCAGAGTACTATATCATTTTTGTACATTAGTTACTCGTATCTGCATACGGCCGCTACTGTAGGGATAGCATGTGAATGCCTGGTATTAGGAAACCGTAGTTCGGGCTAGCCAGCCTAGGCAGTTTGCTGCGTAGGCAGGATTGGAATTAGAACGTTCGAATTTGTTCGGCATTCAAGCGTACTGGCGGGAAAGAAATAAAAATCCGAAGTTGCGCAGTTCGAATTTCCACCTATGACGGGTGAGCATTACAGACCGGTAACTGACGCGTACATAGTGCCAGTTATCATGAATAGCACTAACTTTGTGTTAGCAGGTGGAGTAGGGTCCAGCCTGGACGCCCGTGCATGTTTAAATCCTAGTCGACTGCGGGTAACACACATGTACTGATCCGAGCGCGGAAATTGATAAGCGGGATTGGAAGGAAATATTGAGAAATAGCTATCGGCCCGTTTCGCTTGGGATTTGGAATTTGTAATACGTGATTGGCTGGTAGCACCTACGATTTCCGTATTTCCCTGGAAATTCCCAGTCATCTTCTACTGGCCAGTGCCCGACCTTCTTTAGGCGGGAAAAAAACTTCCAATGACCGCGTTTCTTCTGAGCACAGTGCGTGCGGTTGAGCATGGAAATTTCTGCTGAAGCATGAACGAAGGACAATCTATGACCTCTGTTTATCACTATTTCGTCTTCTTCTTCTTCTTCTTCTTTCTCTTATTCTTCTTCTCCTTTCTGTGTTTCTTTGTTTCTTGCTTTGTTCCGATATCTCATTCTTTCTTTGTTATGGAACGTTTTTGTCGTTTTTTTGTTTTCAACAAAAATAGAACTCGTGGCCCAATGTTTGATTTTTTTTTTTTTTTTTTTCCCCTTTACTTTTCGATGGATCTGAAGCCAAACACGGAAGGCGCTTCAGATCCGTGCAACCATACACAGACGAAGGGCGCAGGAGAGACGAGGGAGGTGACACAGAGGTGACATGGAGGTAACACATGTCACCAATGTCGTCACACAGAATCCCTGATGTAACCGGTGTCGGGTCAGAACACCGCCGTCGTCAAATCCTACACTATCACCAATTGATCAACCAATGATCTCTCTCCTCTGAAGTCGAAGTACAAGTCCTCTCAAGTCGAAGTCCTCTAAAGTCGAAGTCAGAAGAAGAAGAAGAAGAAGAAGAAGAAGAAGAAGAAGAAGAAGAACAACAACAACAACAACAACAACAACAACAACAACAACAACAACAACAACAAGAGGAGGAAGAAGAAGAGAGCGGGGGAACTCATCTCGCAATCACCAAGTGCGCCGGCCTTCCTCGCGTACTGTCGACGGGACAACGACGGCGGGCACGCGCGCCCGCGCGCGTGCGAGAGAGAGAGAGAGAGAGAGGGAGAGGCGATGCCGGGAGACAGAGAGAGAGAGAGAGGCGATGGCGGCCCGCAGAGAATCCCACGTGGGTCGGTCGCGCGTCGACGCGAGCTGGTCCCCCCTTCCCCTCCCTGCGAACCCGGTCCCCCACCACGGACCATCCACCAGTGACCGCACACCACCGACCGGCCAACTGCCACGCAACAGCCGCCGGCGGAGGGACCCGTTACTGTTTCCACATCGTCGCCACTGTCCACATTGGTCCACGGCCAAAAAAACGTCCGACCACRAAAWAAAAAAAAAAAAAAAAAAAAAAAAAAACTACAAAAAATCTGAGTTGGTACCCACTGTTGGGAATCCACGCCGAGGCCGAGCCCCAAAAAGTTGGGGTGCTGGCCAGCATCACGTAATTTCCCAACAGTGGGGGAGGTACTGGTGGTTTAAAACTGTCTCTTATACACATCTAGATGTGTATAAGAGACAGCTCTCTCTCTCTCTCTCTCTGTGTGTGTGTGTGTGTGTGTGTGTGGCGCGCGCGCGCGTGTGTTTCTGGCTTTTTCTCCTTCACAAATACTTTGTGCCCCGCGCGCGCGCGCGAGCACATGCAGATTATGTGTTTATGGCTTTTTTTCTTCCACAAAAACATTTTGCCGCACGAGGACGAACTCACTGGCCAGCACCCACATCTCCATCCGTCCGTTCCTGGCTGTCGATGCCCTGCGAACATGGACCAGGATGCAAGCTCCTCTAGATGCCATTGGCCTCTGCTCGTGTCTAGGGGCCTCGCTGCACTACTCTCGAAATGTGCAAAAAACAAAAATCATGGCCGTGTATCTTTCCATATTCTAGCGGAAGATTCACTCTCGTTTTGCACATTTCGAGAGTCGTGCAGCGAGGCCCTGGGTCTCGCTCCACCAAATCCCCAAACGTGAAAATCCCGACTTTGGGCCTCGCTGCACGACAGTCGACATGCACAAAAGACAAAAATCTTGGCGGTGCATCTTTCCGAATTCTAGCGGAAGATTCACTCTCGTTTTGCACATTTCGAGAGTAGTGCAGCGAGACCCTTTATCTTTGCGGTTTCTCCTGGCAAGACAGGTTCACCACCATCACACTCAGGGGTTGCATCGAGGCCCTGGGCCTGACCAAGCACCGCGTGCCAGAATCTGTACACCATCCTCCCCCATCTCTCTCTCTCTCTCTCTCTCTCTCTCTCTCTCTCTCTCTCTCTCTCCATCTCTCTCTCTCTTTCTCTCTCCCCATCTCTCTCTCTCTCTCTCTCTCTCTCTCTCTCTCTCTCTCTCTCTCTCTGTGGCAAGCGCGCGCGTTTGCTCGCTCGCTCTGAGAAGATACTTGTTACACTGTCGCCCCGACGCATCTTCACGGATGTGTTGCAGGGCACAGTCACAGACGGCCCTCCATAGTGATGCCGATTCCTTTTTTGTCCGTACAAGGCCGGCGCTTCTCCCGTCGCCACCTGTCCCGTCTCCTCACTCTCTGAATTTGATTATCGTTTTGTCAGCAACGACGCAACTGTGTTTGCATTGCATGAGCCGTCGACATCCAGTCTTTGACTTTTGGATAGCGAAGAGCTATTTTTTTGTCACGACGTGATGTCGATGTACGGCGAGCCAACGTGGCGTGTAGCGATTTCTCTGGTTTGTGAACTTCGCTAGGTTCACGTGACGATTTTCGCGATCACTCCAAACCCTCGGGAACACCATCATGGTGGCAGCGACCGCGGGGGAGCATAGGGTAGGAATAGCGGCTGAGCGCGGATGAGTTCGAGGGATGAATTCACCCGCTCTTTTCTTCTTTTAGTTCACTTTGGATCGTAATTGGTGCTCGATTGAGCCGCTCGATACCCGCGCGTGACCGTGCTTCGTGTCGCCGCGTGGCTGTCGACGGCTCGCAGAATGGAAGAGATTAACGGAAGCTTCATCTACATCACAGCCAGTCAGCGTTAGAGTGCTAGCTCAGCGACGGCAAACACTCCCACTGGGTCTGTGCTGGCGGCATTTGTCCATCTTCCGGGATGGATTCAGTCCAGGCAATCCAATTAATGTGAGTATGCACTAACTCTGGTGACTTGCGCATGAAGAGTGGGGAGTTCTTGTTCAGTAAGGGAAGAGGACCTCACTTGGGAAGTATAGCGACAGTTTTGCTTTCGGCGGAGGGGTTTCTCACGTGAATCCTGAGCGTGGGTGAGGAGCTGCACGAGTTGGGGATACCATGGTTAACATCTCCTGTCCTGTTAGGGACCATTATATCGCTTTACGTGATCATTGCAGGCGTTCTCGTGTCTATTTCTTTGCCCGGGCGCGATTGGTCACAGTCTATTTGATGGCAATCGCAGCGACTATGGTGTGTGGCTGTTATCTGGTCCTCGTACTCACAGCGTGCCGGGGATCAGCTTTTAGAACCGGGGTTCGGAGTCTTGCCTCCAAGCCCAGCTGGCACGCGGTTGATCGTCTTCTCCAGGAGTCGACGAGTGCCGCTCCAGCAGCACCGCCGGAAGAGCGGCAGATAGAGTATTCGCCGTTTGTGAGCGGTTCCGTCACGCGTGTGACGTTGCATACCCCGCGGGCGAATGAGACGGCGGGGAAAGATTGCCGGTCAGTAATGACGGACCTGGTGGTTGGTTTGGGTGAATTGTACTATATCCTTCACCAGTGCTGCCAAGTGGATGGTACTCTCAAGGATCGGTCGTTGTCGATTAGGAGACTGAACTTATCGCAGGTGCAGGACGGCGACGGCTCGAGCCCGCAGAAGGACGACGACTCCTTGATAAGTTACATGTGGCCATACGGGCAGCCGAACGGGACAATAATCCGCGGGCCAGCGGATTTTGGAGATGTTCAGGTGACAGGAATGGGTCTGTCGAAAGATGCGATGCATCTCGTCTTGAGCGTAACCAATGGGGACCCAAAAGTAATGCGGGGCAATGGTACCATATCTGGTGACCAGAATCGCTCCAGGTTCACATCTTTGTCGCTCGCTGACGGCTCTCGGTCGTCCTCCGACCCTTTGAGCACATTGGTCCAGGCTTGGGCGTTAGAGTCTAAAAAGGGTTTTCTTTACTATTTGCAACGTGATTCCGCATTAATTAACGTCACCGTTAATGATGTCGGGCTTCCAGACGGCCCTCTGAACCAGGTGACCCGTTTAGGCTTTCAAACGGGTTTCGATTCTGACGAGAAGTTCCAATCAGGAAGCCTTCTCTCTGACGGCAGTTGCCTTTACTCCGTGGCTTCTAATGACGGGCTGTTCGGGAGGGAGCTTGGGGATGGATATTTCGACCACTCCAGAATTGCATACCCTTCCGTTCTACTCCTCGGGAAAGAGATGGACGTGGTTGCAACTTCTCAAGGTTGTCACGTGTTCACGGCCGCAAACATAACAATCGAGGTCTTCAAACTCTTCAAAAGGACCGAAAGGACATGCGGCAGGGTGGGAGCCAGGTCGGCACTCCCACGTTATTTCGGCAAAGCGGATGTTACGGCATTGGCACTTGGTGAAACGGCGACGGCTTAAGCCTCTATGTTGGAACCAGCGATGGCAGCGTGTATAGCGTTCCGCTGAACGGCCCGGAACTGAGCCGTTGTGGAAACGAACCGTACATTCGACGAGTCCTCAGCGACGGATATTTCATCTTTGGATATTTCATCTCCGGATATATGCGTTCACTGTTTTTTTTTGCGGTTAATCTGCCTCCGTCAGGACTCACAGGCGTGATCTATTTCACACTAGTTGTTGTGCCCTCCCTGTTGATCAGTGTGTTGGGTACTTCAGTAATCTACACATTTATATATGCTCCTGTGATATTTACATTTATAAAATAGCAAGTTGCACCGTGTTTTGGGATTGCGGTTTTGTAAAGCGTCGACGTCGAGATCTGGAACCGGTCAGTAATAACCATACCGTTCTCGCCCGGCCGACGACTTCATCTGTACAGGACTGCACTGCTTTGGATTTCTGGGGACTGAGGCCGTCGCGCGTCAAGCAGTTTGGTTGGAAACTGCTGTCGGATTGCACGGAGAATTTTAGCGAGACCTATCGCATAGGGGACAAAGTGGCGTTTGGGAAAGTATACAGGGGCTCGCTTGACGGCAAGGACGTGGCAATCAAGGTGATGACCGGTGAGCTGACGGACGTGAAACGGAACCAGTTCGTGGCGGAGGTGAACACTCTCAGTGCAGTTAATCACGTCAATCTCATCCAGCTCACTGGTTACTGCCAGGAGGGCAACCAGTGCATCTTGGTGTACCCGTACTTCAGAGGTGAATGCTTGCACGAACGGTTGTTCCCTCACACTGCTAACCATAGGGAACTCGCAGAGGATTCTCCTCCGCCGCTCACTCTCCAGGAGCGCATGAGCATTGCCTTCCAGATTGCCAGGGGGCTCCAGTACCTACACGAGGATGCCAAGCCTCCCATCATTCATCGGGACATCAAGAGCAGCAACATCCTGCTTGGCGATGGCTGTGGGGACAAACTTTACGTAGTCGTGGCTGATTTCGGACTGGCGGCCATTGGGGAGAGGGTGCTGGACACAGGGCACGACCACGTTGTGATCACATCTCACATTGGTGGCACCTTTGGGTACATGTCGCCGGAGTACATGCTGAGGGGCGAGCTGTCCGAGAAGAATGATGTGTACTCCTTTGGGGTTCTTATACTGGAGCTGCTGACGGGAAGGAAGGTGGTCACACGGGCGCCTTCTGGGGTGGGATGGCAGACACTGGTGGACTGCGTGAAGCCTTTCCTTCGCGGCGACAGTGAAACAGCCCAAGACCCGAGCCTGGACATGCCACGGGCTATTCTTGACCACTGTTTGTGGGATCAGATGGCGGGAGACTCTACGAAGCAGATGTTGATGAACACTTTCCGACTGGCGTGGGAATGTGTCCATGAGGATTATGGGTCAAGGCCGGCAATGCGATCTGTTGTGCAGCGCTTCCACAGCATGCTTCTCGATGTAGGATGGGACTTCTTGATCAGAACAATGGACATGGAGTACCTTCTGGCGATGCCAGAGGCAGAGTATACCATCTGCAAGGACGATGATGCTGAGTCACAAGAGCATCACGAAGTGCTCCTAGAGTGAGGGAAAGGATGAGAACCGTAAATACTCTTTGTATAATACATATATGAATTCCTTTGTGTCTTAGCGAGTGATAGCCACTAGCATGGTACTATTGGGTAGATCTCTAGCTCCTGATCTGCTTATTAACTGTTACATGGAGTCTGCCTTGCGCACAGCCAGCAGGCTGGAAGGTGCTCAAATCTTTCACTTGCGGGCAGATGAAAGTCACTGTGCGGGCCAAAAGCTGAAAATGCTAATATTTCGATGTGTGGAACATTCATTATATTCAGCGAAAGTTTTCTTAGAGCAAGACCTTGTATGCACTGGACGTCTTGCCATTGGCTGTCGCGGACGTGTAAAAGTGTTATGGCACTGTGGCATTGGGCTTGTAGTAGTTGTCACCAACTCCACATTCTGGTACTGAATCTTCTCAATGTAAAAGAGAGACTTTTATAGTTTTTGAAGTACTTGCGACGGCCAGAGATCATCTCACAAATCAAAGAGTTTAAAAAAAAACAAAAACAAATCAAAGAGTTCAGAAATCTCTCTTGAGGTGATATCAGATTCATATTTTTTTCCAACTTATGGTATCATCATTGCAACTGCGGACCGGGACCCAGACATGTCTGGACCGAGGCCCAGACATTTGTCTGGACTGGTCCAGACGGACAGGCACCGGACAACAGGACAGGACCTGATCCAGACCGTCCGGACCGGTACGACAAAAAATGTTACGACTGGGAAAAAAAACAAAAACATTAGTAATAATTTAATAAACAGTACTCGATGAAGTCAGTTTAATAAACACAATCAATGGCAGTTGCGTGTAAGGGGACAAAACTTAGTACTTACCGTCTTTCACTATTCACAACTTTACAGCTTCATACTGTCACAGACATTCACAAAGCTCACAAAACGCTTGAAACCAGTTCTCAACAGACCAATCCCAAGACACTGACCAATCCCAAGACACTTCAGAAAAGAGTACAAAAATCAGGAAGAAACAGAACTTTGAACTTTGAAGTTAGACTTTCTAATTCATATGAAATTTAAACTGTTAAGTTATTCAGATCTGCGTAAGAACAGATCTGAGATCTGGCCAGGACCAGATCTAAGACGGGAACGCAGGTCTGACCAAAGACATCTCTCTCTCTCTCTCTCTCTCTCTCTCTCTCTCTCTCTCTCTCTCTCTCTNTCTCTCTCTCTCTCTCTCTCTCTCTCTCTCTCTCTCTCTCTCTCTCTCTCTCTCTCTCTCTCTCTCTCTCTCGCTTGATGTTCTGTGGTGCTTGCAGCCAGCACTTCATCTTCGGAATCAGACTCATCCTCTTCCGATGAGCTACCAACTGCGATTTCGTCAAAACGGACATTTTTTATTTTTTGAACGAGATTGAAAGTCCACTTCTTTGCCTGAATTGCTTCATTTGCGAATTATTTTTGACAGGAGAAGGGGGGTAGGTGGTAAGCGGTCAAGGGGTAAGGGGTAAGGGTTAAAAGGGTAAGGAGTAAGGGATAAGGGGTATGGGGTAAGGGGTAATGAATTGGGGGAATTTGGGGGTAAGGGGCCCGGGCGTTAGGTGTAAGTGTTTGTCACATACTCATTTCTTGCCTCTATAAACCATTCCTACATTAACCATTTTTTTTAATAAGATGTCTGTCTTGCACGACCAGTTACCTATTGACCGCATCATTAATCCTGAATACTTTTGCGAGCTCATTTTCTCCTATGATCACCTCTACTTGTGCTCACTGCATGGTCCTCTCATATGCTTGGACGACTATTGTACCCGACTCATATATCTACTCCATAACAGCTACATCGAAAGTTATTCGGCATTGTAGTCTCTTAGTGTCATCTGATGTGAATGTGAATGGTGGCAGAAACCCTCTCGCCAATAGGGATGCATATGTGAGCATAAACACACCGCACTCGTTGAAGTCTCGCTGCTTTGGAATATCTTTCACTTCCCATCGATGGTTGAAGTTTTTTGTGTGAATCTCTTGACCTTGTTCGACCAATCTCATGTACAAAATTTTTGCGAACCCCCCTATCACCTTCTTTGAGAGTTGAACATCTATTGTCACGAATTGTAGTACTTAAATTTCATACGCCTAAGGTCCGCCACTACGAGTGTCCAATGTTGGTTGTGTGCAGCATGAAAAGGTGCAATAATCAAATCCATGTCGCTTATCACAACCTCTGTGAAACATTTGCGAACCATATCGTACCGAAACTTCATATTGCTATCAAATGGTCAGGCAAAAAAAAAATGACCTGAGTAGGAATGTGCCTCTTTCTTGTTCTAGCCATGTTCTCGTTCTTCGAGTCGCAATTCTCGTGATTCACAAGACACTCGTTGTCTAGTCGAATGAGGTTAAGATAGAAATTCACTATCTCCTTGTTCAACCATTTTTTTTATATCATGAGCAAGCTAAAATCGTTCACTGTCATTTTCAGTTCTTCTTTCGTATCTTCGTTAAACGAGCTTGCTATGACATCTCTATTACTTATTTGCACTGACAGCCGCATGAGTGTCTCCATCTCTTGCTCCGTCAAGTTCGTTGTTGCCAAGTGTACGGTTCATCCTTTTTTGCACCTCCGGTTATCCTCCATTGTCATTTGCGCTGCACATGACAACGGGCCATGTCTTTATGTGAGCTACTGTTCCAAGATATGCAGTTATAGTCATGTTGATTGTATGTAGTTTATTGCAGTAATGCATACTTGTGGGTTACCTTAACAGAGCAGGGTGCTTATAAGAAAATTGGAGTTTGCGGAGTGGAAATCGATACACTCCTGCTTATTTTTAAATGCATTTATTCAGTAACCACCGTAGTACAACAACAAAGGGAACTGCAGGAGGCGTCTGGTAGGCCTTGAAAAGGCCGAAAAATACCGGGGGCATTTTTTCGGGGCGGCCTAGGACCCGAAAAACCTTTTTGGACCCCTACAAAATAACATTTGAATTTTTTAAAATTGGATGCAATCCAGACCACCAAACCAGACACCGGGCCCATACCCAGACAACCGGACCGTCTGGATTTCAGTCCAAACGTTCGGCGGGCTACCATGGGTGACATCCTTCCGATGATTTCATCGGGTCTTTAAATTAACCTTACCCCTTAAGCAGCATTGGCCACAGGCAGGAGCTGGTGAGCCACTGCGAGCAAAGGAAGGAAGGGGCTGAAGTTTTAGTGAAGGTCGGTGCATGAGGACGATTGAGGACGGGGAAGTGCAGCTGGGGAGTTTGCTTTGGTTTGTTCACAACGAGCCTGGAAACGAGAGAGAGGCAATGATTGCCAGGGCAGATGAGAGGCGTAAAAAGATTATCTCGCTGCGCCCACTGTCTAAACGGAAGGAGAAAGAGACAAAACGAGGGCGCTTGGGTGCTTCTCTGACGTTTTCGATAGGAAGGAGTGGATTCATTTATTACTTGTTTCATTCTCCCCAGTTGCGTACAACTGGGGCTCGCCACACCATTGTTGAAAGGCAGAAAAAATCAACGGCTGTCATAATAAATTTGACAGTCTCCTTTGCACAGTTTGCCCCCCTTTAGAGGCTTGCCACACAGGCTGTCGAAAACAAGGTTTTCTACAATTTTGCATCACCACACAGACTTTCGAAGAATTCCAGCTCAAAAAAAAACATGAAAACAATAAAAGGTGTCTGAACGGTACACTCAACAACCACCTCCCCAATTCGTTTGATCCCGCCTGCAGGAGACAAAAAATTAAAAGCGCCCTACCTGCCTTTCGAGAATTGTGTTCGGATTTGCATTGTCAGGGACTGTTCCATGACACTCGTGCCCATTCAAAAGGCAGAGTCCATTTGGCCATGACAAAAAAAAAACTTGCCCCTCAACAACCTGTGTGGCGAAGGGTGGGTAAACTGTCTACCGCCTACTTTTGAATTTTTTCTTACAGCTGATGAAACTCAAAGAGTTTCGACAGCCTGTGTTAGGGCCTCGCCACACCAATGTCGAAAGTGAACTTCTCGACAGATTTTCTTCGCCACACAGACTGTTGAAGAAAAAATTTCCAAAACACATAAACAACAGTCAGAGAAGTGGTTTCGACATGGGTGCAGAACGACCCGCCTGCAGCGGGTCCAGTTTCAACATCTCGGAAATGAGGTTGTGAAGGATGTGAAAATTTCAACATATACGAGGACCCGCGTACTGACCTTGACATCCCGTGTCTTCTTCTTCTTCTTCTTTATTTCTTTCTTTTCCTTTTCTAACAACGAAACTTTGTTTATCCTAGGTCTTTGACGTACGGTGTAGCGAAGGCGGCCTTTGTGTCACAATCGTGAGGGCTTCGCCACACCGCATTTTCTCCTCGCCACACAGCCTATAGTAATCCAAGATGGAAAAAATATTCAGTAGTTGTCAGAGAAAGACTTTCGACACCTCCTTTCGAACGAGGTTGGTTCCCTAACCTTTAACTTCAACATTTTCAACATGCCTCCGGTGAAATGTCGAGCTCTTCTCCGAATGACGAAACGGAGAGTCTATTTGGGATGGACCAAGGCTTGTATTACCCTCACGCCAGTTTATCTCTCTTGTACTTGTACTTCCGAGTTCTTCACTTTCCAACATGCTCTGTGGCGAAGGGTTTTTTCTTTTCAAACGAGGGAATGTAAAAAAATCCCTGACATTTGTTGAGAATTACAGTGTTTCGACATCCGTGTGACCAGACCCTGTCGAAAATGGTCTGACAGTTGCAAATATTTCACGGTTTCAACACTGGTGTGGTGAGTCCTTTAGCCACAGACCACTGTAGAGTGCACACACTCCTGAATGCAAGATAGAAAAAGACGAAGGCACCTGAGGGTTCAATAAGCCCTAGTCCATCCCGACCTCACACCCACTCACCAAATATTGAAGAGAAATCGATGGCGCAGCCGAGAACAGTCAAAAGCATCCGAGTAGTAGGTTGGGGATTTAATAACTTTCGACGGGAGGTGTCAAGAAGCATTCTCTGACAACTTGCGAATTTTCCTCCCATCTCCAATTTCGACAGGCTGTGTGGCCAAGAGAAACTATCGAAAATCGCATTTTCTTTTTTTTTTCGTTTTGTCCCATCGTGTTCTTTTGTGATTGGCATTGTGCGTCTACCCACTACTGACAAAATGTGCAAATTGGGACTGAATCTTCCCCAAGAATAGGGGAAGATACACGGTCAATATTTTCTTTTCATGTGGTATGCATGTCCATTAGCCATTGCGAATGTCTCTCTCTCTCTCTCTCTCTCTCTCTCTCTCTCTCTCTCTCTCTCTCTCTCTCTCTCTCTCTTTCTCTCTCTCTCTCTCTATCTCTCTGTCTAACACACACACATACACACACACACATACATACACACACATACAGACACACACACACACACGCACACACAGCAGAGCCACATGGCATATCTAATGGGATAGGTCTCCACAACACAATGATGAGGGCATGGGGATCACTGGAATGATGCCACGTGAACAAGAGAAACGATGACCCAAATTGAGAGACAGCGAAAGAGTTTCTTCCTCCAGCAGGGCCATGTGGC